TGGTGTGGTTAAAGATGCTGCACTCCCACATAGCCGACTGCATTTCGAGTCCCAGACCTGGTAGCTTGCTTTCTCCCTTTCTCTCTCTCTGGTCAAATTTAAAACAAAAAAAAAAGAATAATAGTTGAATTAAATAAATAGTTTAAAATTTTCATTACTTAGCAAATATAAAAGTTAGAAATCCTGAAAAATGATTATGTCTTCTTTACAAAGATACATACTTTTGATATCAGAAAAGGTTGGGGCTGGCCCTGTGGCCTAGTAGTTAAGGGAGCTGGACCTCACAAGGCTGACCTCAGTCTGAGTCCCAGCTCTGGCAGCTTGGGGGACATGCTGGAGTGTGTGTGTGTGTGTGTGTGCGCGAATGTGTGCCCAGGGTCTTGATGGGATAGGGAGATAGAGAAAGGAGGATTGTGGTGTTACCACACCCCCTGGGCGTTGCTTTCTCCCTCTCTCGCACTCTCTCTGGTGAGTGTATGCACCCACTGGCAATTAAAAAACATTTTTAAAAAGAATTACTTATTTAATTTTATTTATTACTATCTTTCTTAAAAATTTGCTGTAGGGTACATGCACTCGAGAGAGACAGAGGGAGGGAAAGTGAGAAAGCAAGCTGCCAGGTCCAGGACTCAAAGCATGGTCAACCATGTGGGAAACTAGTGTTCTAACCATTATACCACCTGCTGGCCCCAATTTTAAAACATTTTAAAAGAAAAGATCAGGGTCCTCTAGGTGGCATGGTTGTTAAGGCACTGGATTCCCACATGGCCGACCATGGTTTGAGTCCCAGACCTAGTGGCTTGAAAATCAAGCCAAACGTGTGTGCATGCGTGCCCAAAATCCCAGGAGGAGAATAGAGACGGGATTGCCATGTGGCCATCCCCCCTGAGGGATGATTTTTCACTTTCCCTCTCTCTGCCTCTCTCTGACTAGCATATATACCCTGTGGCAAAAACAAAACAAACTAAACAAACAAAAAACACTTAAAAACTAAAGGGCTGGCAGGTGACATGGTGGTTAAGGTGCTGGACTCCCACATGGCCAACCATGAGTCCCAGACCTGGTGACTTGTCTTCCCACTTTCCCTCTCTTTTTCCCTCCCTCTTTCTCTCTGGTCAAATTAAAATAAATAAATAAGTACAATGAAAGAAAAGGAAGAAAGAGAAGATTGAATAGTGGGATACAACTTGGCCTGGTGGGCTAAGAGGGTAGACTCGAGCCTGAGTAACAGGCTCCTCCTCCCCCTACCCCACTGCTGCCTCTTGCTTGTCTTAACGCCTTGGGGAGTTTCTCTCATGCCCCGAAAAATAAGAGTAATACCTTTTGGGGCTGTTCTGAGGATTAAATAAGTCTCTCCACTTTAGGAACACAAACTGGATGGACTCTAGCACAGCTGGCCATCTAGCACTGCTCATATGACATTGCACATTTTCGCTTCTGCCTCAGAAGATAAGAATACCAATAGAAAAGGAACCATAAGGCTCATACCCCGTAGTCAGGAGTCTTTCTATCATTGTTTTCAAAGTCCAATACTAAATCAAGGTGTCAGCAGGGTTTTGCATTCCTTTCTGCAGGCCCTGGGGGAGAATCTGTTTCCTGCTCATTTAGGTTGTTGATACTTCATGGCATTTGCAGGCCTGCGGTCTGTTTTGTTGGCCTTCAGCTGAGGGCAGTTCCTATCTTCTAGAAGCTGTAACATTCCTTGGGTCACAACCCCATTCTATCTTCAAAGCTAGCAGCAGCGGGTGGAGTAGTTTTCAAGTTCCCTTTCTCTGACCCTCTTCTTCTACCTTCCTTTTTTCTTCCTTTTTTTTTTTTTTTTTTTTTTTTTTTTTTCTTTTTTTTTTTTTTTTTTTTTTTTTTTTTTTGCTATAGGGCACATATGCTTGTCTGAGAGAGACAGAGAAAGTGAAAGTGACAAATCACCCTCTAAGGGGGACGGCCATGCTGCAATTCTTTCTCCATTCTCATCTTGGGATTTTGAGCACACATGTCTGGTGTATTTTTCAGGCCACCAGGTCTGGCACTTGAACTGTGCAGTCAGTCATGTGATCCAATGCCTTAACCTCCACACCACCTGCTGGCTCCCCCCTCTTCTTAAACTATAGGAATTCATGTGATTCTACTCGGCCCACTCATATAATCCAAAGTACTCTCATTCTTTTAAGAGCTACTGATTAAAGCTACTGATTAATTTCCCTTTGTCATGGAAGGTAATAAAGTCAATGGTTCTGGGATTAGGACACAGGCATCTGGCTAGGGTGAGGGCATTACTCTGCCTACCACATCTAGTGAGCCAGAATTTTGTTGTTTTTTTTTTTAAATAGTCATTTATCCTTCCATTTTTTTAAAATCAAAATATTAACTGACTTACCATATAAGATAGGTGATGTTTATTGAGCACCTATCATGAGTTTGGTACTGAGCACTAAGTTCTTTGCTCAGGAAGAGTCTCTGCATCAGGTTTTGTGATTATCCCCATTTTATAAGTGAGGAAACCGCATTTTGGAGAAATTAAGTAATTGATGAAAGTAGTCCAGCTGGTGAGGAACTAAGACGTTTCAGTGGGCTTTGATACCTCAGAGGTTTGGTGGCAATCCCACTCACCAGACAGTGCATACTAAGTAAAAAAATCAATGTTTTGGTTAAAAAAAAGTTTCAATTTTGCTCACAGAAGTTGCCCTTCTCATTTGGGGATATGATAAGAGAATAAATTTTAAAACCAAAACATGATAGGTATTAAAAAGATTATAAGGAGAATGATTGAATTGTAAAATATTTTAAATAATGCTGTTTCTCTGTCAGAAAATGCAAAAAACACGCTGATTTCTGACTTGTACTAAATCAGAAACTGTCTTTTGAAGTCAGAATGTTTTCTCTGAAATCATGGTAGTCTCTGATTTATAATAGGAGGGATAGATTGGCTCAGTATTTTTTTAGTGAGATATTTGACTGTCCCGTTTTGTTATAAGTGATATGTGAACAAACAAAAGAATTTGCCTAGCAACGGAGTTGTTTTTCTCAATCAGAAGATCAGATTTTGTGTGCTCATTTTCTTGTCATCTGAGAGATAAAAAATGCTTATGAATTCAGCATCTTATTTTTTGAGATTGAGATACTGGCGAGTATAATACAGTATCTAAGAATATCATTTGAAGTAGTTGGCAAGCATTATGTTAATTCATATCTGTAATATATTTAGGTAGAGAACCACATTTTTTTAAATGCTGGACCCAATTGTCAGACATGGTTAGCTCACTCATCCTCCTAAACATCTTTTTATCTCTTCTTGTTCTTCATTAATTATACACCCACATTTTATTTTTTATACTTATTAGATCTCTAGGTTCTACCATATTCTATATTTTTGTTGTTGTTGTTCAGAAAATATTTGAATGCTATGTGTTAGGAGGGTCTAGGGTTGCTGTGCCCACATGAAGCTTACAGAGGAATGAAAGCTTAAGCCATGAAACAAATAATTACATGAATCAGGAAGTGCATGGGTGCTATGAAAGTGAATAAAAGCTTCTAAACTAAGTTGAAAGATAGGTACAAAGAAAGCCTTGATGTAAAGGATGAAAAGTATTTAGGCAGGCATACATTGGGATTGACCAATGTAGGTCTGAGGGCACATTTTGCAGAAGTCTTATCCCAGCAAAAAGGCCTGGTCGGGAGAGGGGCAGTGGTGCTTGCGTGTGTGCACATGCCTGTGCATAGTGCTCTTTCAGAGCTTTATGGAGTAGACCTGAGTAGTGTATATTGATCACCAAACACTACACATGGTCTTGTTTCCAGAACTCCAGCATCAAGTGGATATGGTGTAAGATGACCATATATTTTATCATCAGAACCAGGATACTCTTGAGATTGAAAGTGGATGCTATTGATTATGCTGCAACAATAGATTGTAAATCAGTATCTATAGACCAATTCTCAACCACTCTAGTAAGCCCCAAGCTTCCTAGAAACCATGCTCTGAAGTGACAGGGTTAGTTCTGCTTTTTCACCTTGTTCCCCTCCCTCACCCATGAATACCTCCAAGTTATTGAAGAGAGCCACTGGGAGAACCTGCACCCACCCTGTCTAGGCCACAGAATCCCAATCCTGTTGCCGGCCTAGCTGCCCCAGTGCTTTCCAGACTGCCGTCTCGTAAGAGCTCAAACAGTTGATGTAAGGTAGCCCTTATTAACATGTTTACAGAATTAGTCTTTAAAAAAAAAAACTTTATTTAATTTATTAATTTTTTTAATCTGATGAGCGAGTGAGACGCCGGGTCCAGGACTTAAACGGTGATCGGCCGTGTGGGAGTCCAGTGCCATTAACCACCACAGAATTAAAGTCTTAAAAACATGTAGGAAAGAACATAAGGCCTTAAACATTTAGGACATTCCCACTAGAAACTTTCCTATCCCACTTTGCATGCTTAATTATATGTTTTTGGATGGCGGCCAGGGAGTATGGGTGTGGTCTGATTCTAACATCTTGCAGAGTAAACCTGTTTTGTAAATTGGCCCCTATGGTGGAAAATGCTGTAATGGAGCACCTACAGAAGCCTTCCCAGAGGTGTAAAGCCTTCTTCAACAATGACAATGGCAGGAAGTGTAGTAACTTTTTCTCTTCTAGAAAATAAATTGTTTCAGGATCAATTTAATTTTTAAAAATAGAATCAACCGTTTGGCTGGATCTGCATAATGAGGATTAATAAAGCTTTATTACCTGCTCTCTGTGCCCAAGTCAAAGTACAGGGCCCTCAGGAAGCCCTTTAGTTAATGATCAGCAACTGTGAAGCCAGGGAGCTCTTGGCCCAAAGGAGAATGTGAGATCTCACTGTCCCCCTCATCTTTTCTTCGCCCCCAAACCCCTCAGTAAAATGGCTTGACATCATACCCCAAATAATAATAATATTTAATGTTTGTATTCAGCCAGATATTGGAGACACTTAGAAGAGTTTCACTGTTTCTTTTCAAACTACATTAAAGCTCTTATTTTTGCTTTATAAGACAGGAAATGTGAAGAATTCACCCGGAAATAAGTAGAAAACTTCATGTCTGCTCATTTTAATCAGGTAAAGAACAAGAAAACTCTGGTTACTCTCAGTTTTGTTAGCACTAGCTAAGATGACTTGTCTTTTTTAAATTTTATTTTGAGATCTCTTGTCTTTAATTAATTAATTATAGCAATTTCAACTTGAAGTATTAATATAAAGGTCATATTTTATTTCATTTATAATTTGGCAGTTTAAGTGCTATGACTTGTTTGTGTTTGTTTCAGGAAAGCACCTGAACAAAGGCCATTATTTCTTAGGTTTCTTATTTTTCTTTAGAAAAAAAATTTTTTAATTGTCAGAGGTCACATGCAGTCACCAGAGAGAGGCAGAGAGGGAGAAAGCACCCCTCCAAAGGGGCATGGTCACACCACAATCCCTTCTCCATTTCTCATCCTGTTAGGATTTGGGGCATATAAACACATGCACTTGGTAAAATTTTCAAGCTGTCAGGTCTGGGATTCAAACCACGGTCGACCATGTGGTATCCAGCTTTTTTAACCAGTAGGCTATAGAGCTAGCCTAGGTTTATTATTATTCAAATAACACTTAACTATAGTGAACACACTTGTATTTACCCAACACTCATGCATTTTTTGACTATTGTAGAGTTCAAGATTATGTAGCAATATTATCTCTTTTTTTTTTTTTTGAGAAGTTTTTCTATAGGGCGCATGTGCTTGCCAGAAAGACAAGAGACAGAAAGCAAGAAATCACCCCCCAGGGGGGATGGCCACGCTGCAATCCCTTCTCCATTCTCCTTTTTGGATCTTGGGCACACATGCACACACACCGGCGTGAGTTTAAGCCACGGGGTCCGGGACTCAAACTGCAGTCCATTACATGGGAGTCCAGTGACATAGCCATTACTCCAACTGCTGGTCCCCTGCAGTACTATCTTAAGTGACATGGAGGATTACTTCTTTATTCCTTCTTTTTTAAAAAAATAATTATTTAATTTTATTTACTCATTCATTTATTTTACTTTGACCAGAGAGAGAGGGACAGAGAGAGAGAGAGTGAGGGAAAATGCAAAAGCAAGCCACCAGGTCCAAGCATCAAACTGTGGTCAGCCATGTGAGAGTGTCCAGCACCTTAACCACCGCACCACCTGCTGGTCCCTCTTTATTCTTTCTTTAGTTATTAGTAGGTATATAATTTTTCCTCCTTTAAAGATTAAATAACGAGGCTAAAGAAATTTTTTTTTTTTTGGATGCGCTTGCCAGAAAGACAGAGACAGAGAGACAGAAAGTGAGAAATCACCCCCCGGGGGGGATGTCCACGCTGTAATCCCTTCTCCCCCATTCTTCTCTTGGGATATTGGGCATGCACGCACACGCGCCCGACATGAGTTTAAGCCACCAGGTCTGGGACTCGAACTGCAGTTGACTACATGGGAGTCCAGCGACATAACCATTACGCTAACTACTGATCCCAGAGGCTAAAGAAATTCAGGATATCAGATAAAATCAAAATCAGTGAGATTTCTTTTGGGCTTATACTTAATGTACCATTTATTTTCATTTATTTGTTCAATATTTACTTATCAAGTACCTGCTAAGAACAAAAATACTAGTTACATTAATATCATTTTATGGGGGCCAGGAGGTGGCATGGTGGTTAAGGGTGCAGGACTCCCACATGGCCAACCACATTTTAGGTCCTAGACCTGATGACTTACTTTCTCACTGTTCCTCTCTGGTCAAATAAAATAAAATACAAAAATAAATAAAATAATTCCTAAAAAATCATTTTGAATATATATTAAAAATTATATAATAACACTTGTAATTTTCTGGTAATTAGAATATTGTATTAAATTTGGAATCAAAAACCTTAGAATTCAGATGCAAGAAAAGGGTTTTATTATGGTACCTTCATGAAGAGTATTATTACTTTTCAGTACTCTTTAACTACATGGGAATATATGTACAATTATTATTAAATAAAAAAAAGTGATATGATTTATCTTGAGATAGGATAAAGACCAAGAGATATAACAATAAATTTTACTGTATATCTTTTTGTAGTAGGATGAGGTTTACATTTTTCTTCTTTATAATGTTTTATATTTAAAATTTTTCTGCAATGAATATGAATTTTCAATAATCAGAAAAAATTTAAAGTAAGTGTTACACTTACATATCATGGCTGCTATATTTAAACTTCATGAAAACTAGGCTCAAGTTTGTTTTGTTTTTCTCCTCAAGCTGTCTCCATATTTTTGGACACCCAGATAATGGATGCAACACAAAACAAAATAAGATACTGCTTCAGAAAAGGAAATATTAAAATAAAGATGACAGTGTTTACTTTATAGGTATATAAATTTGCAGTATCCCTAATATAAAGTGTATATATAATGAAAAGGAAATTTTACACTTCACAATAAAATTTTTTTTTTTTTTTTTTTTTTGTTTTTTGCCTTTTTTTTTTTTTTTAATAATTTACTATAAGGCATGTGTGCTTGCTAGAAAGAAAGAAAGAGAGGGAAGGTAAGAAAGCACTATCCAGGATGCATGGCTATACCATAGGCCCCTCTCCACCATTCTCCTCCTGGAATTTTGGGCACACATGCACACGTGCTCGACATGTTTTTCAAGCTTCAGGTCCAGGATTTGAACTGAACAATCAACCATGTGAGATCCAGCCACCTTAATCACCACACCACCAGCTGGCCCAGTAGGGTGCTTGTGCTTACCAGAGGGAGACAGGGAAAAGGAAAGTGAGAAATCACCCCCTGGGAGGATGACCACGCCTCAATCCTTTCTCCCCCAGTCTCCTCTTTGGATTTTTGGGCATGCACACATGTGTGCCTGGCATGATTTTCAAGCCTCCAGGTTCAGGACTTGAACTGTGGTCAGCCATGTGGGAATCCAATGCCTGAATCACCATACTACTTGCTGGCCCCAGCTCTTTCTTTCTTTTTCTTTTCCTTTTTTTTTTTTTTTTTTTTTTTTAAAAGAGGTTTTTGCCTTAGGATGCGTGCACTTGCCAGACAGAGACAGAGACAATGAGAGAGAAAGTGAGAAATCACCGCTCATGGGGGAATGGCCACACCACAATCCCTTCTCCTCCAACTCTCCTCCCAGGATCTTGGGCTCACACACACATGTGCCCACCGTGGTTTTCAAGCCACCAGGTCCAGGGCTTGAACTGTGTTTGGCCATGTGGGAATGCAGTGATATAATTACTGTCCCATCTGCTGGTCCCCCAGCTGTTTCTTATACTAAGCAAAAATACATCTCCCTGTGACTCCTATGTAGTGGTCATACTCTTACTTCAGGGTTCATAGAAAATAAATGCAGTTCCTCTTTTCACATCACAGCCTTTCATACAGTAACTCAAAGTGGGTAGTTCTCAAATTCCATTATACAAACAACTTGCCCTGGGGAGCTTTAACAGGAAGGGGGCTAGGTACACACAAGATGTGCCATTAGAAGGTAGACTTGAGGGGACCAGCTACAGTTCAAGTCCCAGACCTGGCAGCTTAAAACACTGGGCATGTGTGTCCAAAATCCCAAGAGGAGAATGGAGGAGAAGGGATTGTAGTGCGGCCATCCCCCCAGGGGGGTGATTTCTCACTTTATGTCTGTCTCTATCTCTCCAGCGAACACATGTACCATATACCAAAAATTTCTCTTAAAAAAAAGAAGGTAGACTAGAGAGTGAGCAGCTGGAGAGCCATGCTTGTGCTGTAGAGACTTTACATTAAATATGCTTGTATTTCTCTACAAGGACAGTGAGGCACAGGATAAAGGGAAATCAGATAAATATTTCAGCTTTCAAAGATATTCTGGACTAGAGTTCATCTTACCACATACACCTTGGTTTCATTATTTTTTAGCTTTTTATTGAAGGTATACTTGTGTCTCCCCCCCACCCCCCCATGGCCAGAGAGTGCATGCACTAGCCAGACCGAGATCAAGAGTGAAAGAGAGAGAGAAAGCATCCCCCAGTGGGACATGGTGGCAACACCATAGTACCTTCTCCTCCAATTCTTCCCATCAGTATTTTGGGCATGCACACACATGTGCCCAGCATATTTTTCAATGTTCTGGGGACAGTATTTGAACAGTAGTTGGGCGTGTGAGATTTGACTCCCAATGCACAGTGCTTATTCACTACATTGTGGGACCAGCCTGGAAGTGTAGTTTTTTGTTGTTGTTGTTTTTCAGAGAGATTTTTGCTGTAGTGTGTGTGTGCTTGCTGGAGAGACAGAGAAGCAGAAAATAAGAAATCACCCCCCTCCCTACCCAGTGGCTTTGGCCATGCCGCAATCCTTTCTCTTCCATTTCCTCTTAGGATTTTGGACATGCATGCACATGAGCCTGCTGTGCGTTTTAAGTTGGTACGTCCAGGACTTAGACTGCAGTCAACTGTGGGAGTCCAGTGATGTAACTTACACCTCTGCTGGTCCCTGGAGGTGTAGTTTTTAATTAGAAAAGTGATGCATTTGTAAAAAAAAAAACCTTTTTAGATAAATATTTTAAAAGCTCGACCTATCCTTAATTTTCCCAGAGGTAGTTTCTGTTAATATTTAGGCACATCATCTCCGACTTTAATGTTTACTCAAGGAGTTTTAAAAAAGTTTATGGAAAAAGTGTGTTATGAAAAAACTATGCATGGATTTAAAACATTTTTTTTTTTGCAATAGGGTGTGTCCGCTTGCCAGACAGAGAGAGACAGAAAGTGAGAAATCACTCCCCAGTGGGGATGGCCACACTGCAATCCCTTCTACTCTATTCTCCTCTCGGGATCTTGAACACGCACGCACGCACACGCACCCAGCGTGAGTTTTAAGCCACTGGGTCTGAGACTCGAACTGCGGCCGACTACATGGGAGTCCAGCGACATAGCTATTACGCTAACCGCTGGTCCCAGGATTTAAAACATTTATTGAACCTAATAAACTTGTACTTTAGGACCAGCTAAGTGGCATGGTGTGGTGGCTAATGTGGCTGGATCACACATGGCTGATAGCATGGTTCACATCCCAGACCTGGTGACTTGAAAAACACTCTGGGTACATGTAGGTGCATGCCCAAAATCTCTCTACCTCCATGGAGTGCATGCACCCTAATAGCAAATTAAATAAATAAATAAATAATTTGTATTTTTTTTTTTTTTTTTTTTATTTCAATTTCTTTTATACATTCAATCACATATGTCACTTAGCTTGCAAAGCGAATATTCCAACATGTATACATTTCTCACCAATCCAGTTGTGAATACTATAGACATCATCCTCAACAGACAGTAACCCATCTCTCTGTCCCACAAATGCTCTGCCTCTCCATTTCTCTCCCCAATGTCTCTCCTCAGTCTCTGCTCTTTCACCCTCCCTTTCCCACACTGTGTCTGGTATTTATAGCTATTTTCTATGTTTCTATGTCCTCTAGTCATTCATTTTTGGTCATAGAGTGCAGACAGTTGTATATATTAAGTGGGAACATAACATTGTCATAGCTTTAATTACTTGCTTCACTCAGCAGTAAATCTTCCATTTTCATCCACTTTCTGTTGAAAGCCAGGGTCTTTTTTTTTTTTTTTTTTTTTCATAGAGTTTATGGAATACTACTCATAATAAAGTAGTATATGTCCTCTTCCCTGGATGAATGGGGTTTGGCTCTCTGTATGTCATGGCTTTGTAGTCTCCTCTTTTGTAGCCTCTGAATGCACAGCTCATTGAACTTTATTCCTTGCCACACTTTTTCCATCCATTCATTTGTTTGTGGGCATTTGGGTTGGTTCCATGTCTTAGCAATTATGAATAATGCCTCAATAAAAATCGATGTGCAAGCACTTTTTCAACTAAGGATTCTTTTGTCCTTTGGGTACATACCAAGGAGTGGGATTGCTGGATCATATCTCCTTATATATATAAATGGAACTTCAAAAAAAATTTGTGGAAAAAATGGAATTAAAATACAAGGCTATTTGTAGATCTTTGAGGAATCTCCAAATAGACTTGTATTATAATTCCATTTTTTCCACAAGTTTTTTGAAATCCCATTATACATAAGATTTCTTAGAAAAAGGCCCAAGTATAAACATGAAATTTATTTATGTTTCACATATACATTTATTTTTTGAATTTTTTTTTTCTTTTTGCTATAGTGTGAATACACTCGCTAGAGAGACAGAGAGACAGAAAGTGAGAAATCAACCCCTGGAAAGTGAGAAATCACCCCCTGGGAGGATGTCCACTCCACAATTCCTTCTCCATTCTCCTCTCAGGATTTTGGAAACACATGCACATGCACCTGGCATGAGTTTGAGCCACTGGGTCTGGAACGTAAACCACAGTTGGCTACATGGGAGTTCAGTGATGTAACCATTACTGCATCTGCTGGTCCCCATATATTTACCTTTTTGACACAAAAGCTTTCTGATTTCTTGTTTAAGTATCTGTAAAATGGGAATAATTATTTTTTTCTGCTTTATGGTCTTTATGGTCATGTAATGGTCATGTCAGTATTTTATATAGTTCATTTAACTCTAAAGAATTTTTTACATGCACAATTTTAGAGTAATTTAAATTTTTTCTGCATAGTTTACTTACCTTTTTTTTTCTTTCCTTTAGTTATAGGTAAAAATTGGAAAGTTCTACAGTAAATCAGTATTTCTACAGAAACATGGTAAAGAAGTCATTATTGACTGTAGTAAATGGCTTTCTTCAGGAACAACTGTGCCAGGCCTCTTTGTTATCTTGGATGACACCATACTACAAGTGGACTAATCTGAAATCCTTTCACCTAAAAATAATACAAGCCTTAGAACTCCTTGATCTCATGTTGCTATTTATGTACATAATTAAAATCTAAGTGAAAAAAAAACAGTTGTCCCATTTTTTTTGCTGATACCACTGAGTGACAATTTAAGCATATCTGGTGTCCATGTATACGTATGTGAGTCTGAGTGATTTGTATGCATGAGATGTCTGTGTATGTGCACGTGTGTGTGTGCATGTGTGTGTGTGCATGTTAAAGACAACTGTCAACTCTCCTCAGGGCAGTATCAGCTGGCAGTCTGTGGAGTCTAAGCCCCAGAACACAAAGTAAGGTAGAAAAAAATGACTCCGGAGCTGAGGGATGATGCTCCAGTAACCAGCACAGGGAGCAAAACTTGTAAGTAGTCCAGTTTGCCTGACACTGATTAGAAGACATACAAAAGAAAACAGTGACAGTGACCCCTTGTTGTGGCCATTGCTTCCTGGTTTGTACAGATCTTCCGGTTCTTGAATGCCAGTGAGAGATTCATAATGAAGTAGTATATGTCCTCTGCCCTGGATGAATGGGATTTGGCTGTATGTCATGGCTTTGTAGTCTCCTCCTTTGTGGCTTCTGAATGTACAGCTCATTGAACTTTATTCCTTGCACTGGAGGAATCAGCAGGAGCTTCGTTTGACTTGTTAGTCAGCCAGGAGGGAGTGCACAGGATAATATGTGAAAGAGAGTTTAGAATTTCCAAATTTCAATCAGATTTGGGAACTATTAAGTCTTCCTTGTATTCTTGTGTCATCTGTTTAATTCCTACTCATTGGACATCTAGAATTGATAGCAGTTGGTGAGATAGCAGTATGCAAATGGACATGGACATGTTCATGTTAAATACAGTTAATTGAGCCAAAATGACAGGAATAGTGCCAGCACTGTTACCAGATTAATGAGCTGAAGCAAATTTGTCCCTCGAATTATCTCCCTAGTCACCTTCACCGAGAAGTCTTAATTCCTTTTATGCTGAAAGACTTTTGTGTTACTGTACCAATCATCTGAACTGTGCCTAAATTATCTCATTATAAGTACATTCCTATTATTTCAGGTCTTCTCCATTTCACATGGCTTCCTTTGTCACCTCCGGAAAGTAGAGATTCATGAGTTTCTTCCTTGAGATTGCTTGATCTAGAGAGCTTTAAGAAGAAACGGCCCACACCTCAGCACGCTCTGGAGATCATCCATCAGTGGGTGTTTGAGTGCCTCCTAACTGTAAGGTATTACTTCCTATTTTGAACCCTTTAGTCAGCATTGAAATGTTGCTTTAAAACTTACCTCTCCTCACTGTGGGTGGTGGGGTTAGGTGTCACAGAGCCAGCTCCTAGTAGTGTCTTCTCCGTGTTCTCCAATCAGAGTAGCTCAGTTGCCCTTTAAGCACCTTTGATTTATGAATGATGTCCCAAAGATCTTTTCCTTTGGTGGTGGTTTGCATCCAGTGCTGCCTTCTTTTTACATTTAACACTTACTGCGTGCTTTCTGTGCACACCCTAGTTCCTTAAACTTTTCAGAATGCTATTTTATATCTTTCTCCTCTTGGCCTATTCTAACGTCAGTATGTTAGTACTCCTATTTTTCTGTGTCCAAAGGTAATGCTTGCTACTGACTTTTAAACTTTTCATTCAATTTTTTTTTAAAGAGGTTTTTGCTATAGGGCGCGTGCACTTGCCAGACAGACAGAGAGACAGACAGAAAGCAAGAAATCACAATCCCTTCTCCTCCATTCTCCTCTCGGGATCTTGGGCACGCATGCACACGCGCCCAGCGTGAGTTTTAAGCCACTGGGTCTGGGACGTGAACCGTGGTCGACTACGTGGGAGTCCAGCGACATAGCCATTGCGCTAACTGCTGGTCCCTTCATTCAATTTCTTATGACCATTTCTCCTTGTGATACAACTGTGAGTCTTCATCCAATTAATTTGCAGCTTAACCAACATAGTTCTATATAACTTTAGGAATCTTGGAGGGAACAGTCTTTACTGTATAGAGTGATTTAAGTTCCTCTGAAGAGATAAATGTGGCATGGGTTGTTCTTTGATAATGTAGCAGTTGGATTCCTCAGCTCGCTTTGTCAAAAATCAAATTCAAGGCTAGGTTGGTGGCACAACAGTAATAAGCTGCTCAGGCAATTCCCTGGTCAGCCTGTAAATACTAGGCACACATGCCTATGATCCTGGCTGGCTGGGAAGCCTGGAGGAGAATATAGTGTGGGACCCTGTTGAAGGTGCTTATTTTTCTCTCTTTCTGTCTGTATTGCTGTCTCTTGCTCTCTTGAAAGAAATAAACTTTTTTTAAAAAAATCAAGATTTTAGGCTCAGCTGCATGGCACAGGCAGTAAGGCACTGCTTTACAGTTCTAGAGCCACATGGAAGACTACAGTTCAGATCCTGGATTGATCTAAGATGTGTATCCATGAATCTGTCTGACTAGAAGGCTGGAGGAGGAGGAAAGGAGATCCTTATGAGACAGGACCCTGTCAAGGATTCCTGTTTCCCTCCCCTACCGTTATGAAAGAAATAAGATAACCCTTTTTTAAAAAAATCAAGATTTAAGGGCTGGCTTGTGGCCTCTCAGTTAAGGCAGCTGGATCTCACAAGACTGTCTATGCAGTTCAAGTCCGGACAGTAGATGTGTTCAAAATCCCAACAGGATGGGGAAATGGAGGAGAAGGGATTATGGTGTGACTGTTAAAAAGAAATCAAGATTTATAAGTAATTGCTTCAATGAGGAAAAAAAAAGATGAGGGAACCAAAGAATGCCTTTATTCATTGTCACTTTTATTATCCTTTAGGACAAAATCAAAACAATGCATAGGGGCCAGCAGGTGGTGTGGTAGTTAAGGGACTGGACTTCCAAATGGCTGACTAGTTTGAGCCCTGGTTTGGCAGCTTTGCGCTGGGCACATGTGCATATGTACCCAAAATCCTGAGAGGAGAATGGAGGAGAATGGATTGTGGCATGGTCAGCCCCCTGGGGGATGGTTTCTTATTTTACTTCTCTCTTGTCTCTTTCCAGAAAGTGCACGTGCCCTGTGGCAAAAATCTAAATAGATATATATGTGTGTGTGTGTGTGTGTGTGTGTGTGTATGAGAACTTAGGGCGAGCTGAACTCAGCAACTGCTGCCTACTACCCAGGCAACGGAGTACAGAGGCCTAGGCCACTGGGTCAGCTGCTTTTGTCTTAAGAACACTGCTGGATCCTGGCCCATAGTGGCCTATATAATACAGGTCACTTATGCTAACAGATTAGTGATGTTATACAGAAGTAGCCTAAAGAAAATTTTTAATGTAGGCCAAATTCCTGTGTTTCCATACAGAGACAGAAAAATGTACCTTGCTCAAGATTAAATAGCAAATCAATGACAGCTGAAATTAGGCCATACTGTGAATATTGCTAATTTTTATTTGTGTAGATATATAATTCAGTATCCTTGAGTTCAGAAAAAAAGTAGAGGTTATGTTTTGATTGTCCTGCCTTAATAGCTGTACTATGCACTTTTCTTTGTGACCAGTATTCATGGTTATCATATAAGCTGACTGATTTACCATGATTATAAAAGTTTCTTCTTTTTTTTTTTTTTTCAATTTTAGTGTTTGTTCTAGGGCGTGTACATTCGCTAGAGAGAAACAGACAGAGACAGAGAAAGTGAGAAATCATCCCCCAAGGGGAATGGCTACACTGTAATCCCTTCTCCATTCTCCTCTCAGGATTTTGGGCACACATACACATGGGCCTGGCATGATTTTTCAAGCCACAGGTCTAGGACTCGAACTGCAGAGTCAGCCATGTGGGATCCAGCTGCCTTAATCTTCATGCCACCTGCTGGCCCTAAAATTCCCATTTTTAAATTCAGCATACTCACCCAGTCTAATCCAAAAATCTCTGTTGGGGGACCAGCAACATACTTTTAGGACTAAACTCTCTCAAGGCTTTTTATTAAAGGTAAATATGTGAAATAATTTTTTTATTTATAATTTTTATTTATTTAGAGATTTTTAAATATTTGAAATAATGGTTTTGTGCACCATTTTGTTCACCAAATTGAAAGAAGCTTGTGCTTACAGTTTTGGTTTTCACTGCATAAACCTTCTCTCTGCTGTTTTGTTTTTCTTCTGTTTGAGTTTCTAGCCAGTAACTAGCCAGTACATAGTGTTAAAGGTACAATTAGGTCAAACTCCAGATGTGACCAAAGTTCAGGGTTATTTATGTTTAAGAAATCACAGCCAAGGAAATTTCTGGGTGGAAGAAAAGTTTCTGCTCATAAAGTAAACATTCCATTATTTCACATTTTTTTGGACTTAGCATGCTGAAGAAATCACCTGTATTTCACATTTAGAGGCCTTTATCTTCTTAATCAGCTATAGAGCTTTGTTGCTGGTCTTCAGCTATGACTCTGGAAGCCAAAATAATAGCCAAGGGAGTGATCCTTCTCCCTGCCCACTTTCAAACTATGAAATAGTTTTAAGACTCAATATCCTTATAGTGAGTCCATGAACTCTGTCTCCTGAAGTATGCACTGCCTTATATATATTTTTTTTAATTGCCAGAGGATGCTCACCAGAGAGAGAGAAAGGGAGAAAGCACCCCTTCCTCCCATACATAGGGTATGGTTACACCACACTCTCTTCTCCTTCTCTATCCTGTTGGGATTTTTAATATGTGTGCTCATGTACCTGATGTATTTCTCAAGCCACTGGGGCCAGGCTTTGAACCACAGTTGGCCATATGTGATCTGGCTCCCTTAACTACTAGGCCATGTGACTGGCTTTTTTTTTTTTTTAAGTTTTATTTATTCCATGAGCAAGAGAGGAGAGAAACAGGAAGGCAGTACCCCCCAACAGGGTCTCAATCCATGATCTACCCCCAGGTTCAGACAGCGCTGGATCATGGACAAATGCATGTCTGGCCTACTTAGGGAGCTCTCTGAAAGTGAACCCAGAACCTTCCCATGTGAGTCAGCCTCAGAGCATTGTATTCTGCTGTGCCTCTGTCCCACCCCATTCTTGCGTTATTGATGGAAGTGTAAAAGACAGGTGGGGAAAAAAGGCATATATGGAG